ACATGATCCTGTAGTTGATCTTGTGAAGCCATAGCGCTGAAGAAATCCTCTGATCTCAAGGATATCTGGTATGCTAGGTTCATTTCTACAATGTCCAGGTAGTGGGAAAGCTGAAAAAATAAGTTTAAGAATCCTAAACTAGCCAGATATTACCTGGAAAACTTTCAGACGTTACTAAGACTGGATCAGAATAAGTCAACATGACACTGAGGTGGTCAAATAAATTAGTTTTACAATYTCAGGTGCATTCCCTTTAGTATCATTTCTGTTACCACTGGTATTGCTCCAGATAATTTTACTTTGGGTGCAAGGTTTTTCAACTTCATAGCATATCGTTCCCTTGAGAATTATTTTCTTCTTAACTGAAAATACATGACCTTCAAAGTTTTAGCTTAGGCATATGTCATCCCCATACGTGCAAATTTACCATTTTGTCGATTTGTCATTTCCCTGAGAAATCTTTTATACAAGTAATGTCCATTGGAAGAAGATACTTTAAATATTATAAGGACAAATCTAAAAGTCAAAAATATGCCAAGAAGTGTTTATTTCATAATTACCTTTTCTTGTAAAAGTTTAGCAGAGTTTCTAGTTGTGTTCATCAGCCCAGCCCTATCTTGTTCTGCCTTTGATGGCTCAGCTGTCACTAAAGACCAAGGGAGAACAGACTGGAAGGTTTCTGGGTTTTCTAGACTGAATCCAGGCTGCATAAACACCTGGAGAAAACCAATCAATGGTCCTTTAGTTGAGTAAGTGATTTCTCTAGCCTGGGCGTAATGTTTTCCCATTTCAGATCACATGTCATTCCCTTGAGAATAAGATTCTTYGTTTGAGTTCTATCCATATTCATGTGTCTTCTTATGAGCAACCACTAAACAAAGAAATGATACTCTGGATCTAGGAAAAGACATGTGGCCTGAAATGCATAAACATTGCCCTTCTATTTAAATGCCATTTGAATTTCATAGGCACAAACACCAGACATCAAAACATGTTCTAATTGGCTCAGCTAAAAACTTAACATATTTGTTGATTTCAAGGGTGATCTCATTTGAAATCAACCAGCATACAATTTCCAGGAGCCATTTAGAATGTTTTAATGTCTGGCGTACAAGTCCAGTTGCAAATAACAGCATTAAGCAGCCCCTTAATTCAGCCTCATTATTCATTACCTTTGGAATGACRTTGATGTCCCCCGCTCTATCTTGAACTAAAAAAGGTAAAACTAGTTACAAATTAGGAAAAAAAGTGATCCTATCCTATGGAGTTGCTACTTATCTGAATTTTGCACGAGCCATGCTTTATAATATCACAGCTAAGCAGCAATGTTTACGTTGTTCACACGTTTTTACGGTATAAAAGGYTAACTTCCAAACATTCAGACTGCTAAAAGAAGTTGCTGACCCCCCTTTTTTATTTCYTTCAAATAATTTATTTTTAGAATGAAGTAGTTTTAGCATGCAAAATTGAAAAAAACATCTGACAATGCATAGGATCTTTTGCCTATGAACATTGGGGACTACTGTAGGACCACTATTGATAACACCCAATTCCATGGATATTATTCCTGAATTCCTTACCACTTTGTCTTCTGGCAGCAGCTAATGCGGCAGCACTAAAACCAGTATCTCCAGGTTGCGCAGTTGATAAACTTGGCTCCAATGTTTTCTTCAGTTTATGGTGTAGCTTTAACCTCTACAAAACACATGAAATGTCAAGAATTATGCTAAATATTTATGACTGGATTATTACTACTACATTATATAAACACTCCTTTCTACCACCTCTTTCTCTTTTACTCCRACAAAGGACTAGCGTCCGAAATGTCATCTTTTCACAGTGTAAAAAACACCTTGAAACAATGGTTTGAAGTTGAGACTGACCTTGATTCTTTTATTCATCAAGTCCAACCTCGACTTGAAACCGAATTGTTTCGTGACAAGTCAAGCGAATTTGGGGGATATTATAATAGGAGTAAACAGTTATATTTCCCAGTCAACTTCTGATGTGTCATCTATACCATAGATGGGACTTATAACCGGATATCAGGATTTTATGATGTAATTATCAATACATTTTTGTCATGATTGTGATTATGATGCTATAAATTCCTTTTAAAAACATCTTTGGTGCACTAAAAAGGACTCGATTAGAGTGCAAACAATTAATCCGTGAAACACTAATTACTAAATAGTACAAAATAGTGCTAATTAAACAATAGAAAACAATGGAATTTGCATGAAATTGTGCTATTTAGTATTACTAAAGTTTCACAGATTAATTGTTTGCACTCTAGTGGAGACCAGTTTCATTTACACTTATAAACATTCCACAAACAGTCCACTTACAATACATTAGCATTATTACATTACCATTTCAATTCTTTTGAGGTAATCTTCAAAGTATGCAAAAGGAACTGAATGCAGCAGCGTAAGAGGTGGTACAGGATGGGGTACAAACTCCTCTCCCCATGTCCTGGTGAACAAGTCTGCGTGTCGTTTATTGTAGCGAGGGTCATTTAAAACAGCTGGGAGATTCTGGGTGGAAGAGTATACTGTAAAGTTGTCCGTGTCCTTGAAGACGATTGGTGGAATCCTTGGTCTTGCAAATGGTAGATCCTCTCTTGGTGATGGTAATTCAATGGCTACATTATCAAGAAAAWATATATAAATAATTTAAAGAAAAGTGTGAAAAAGTAAAAATAAAAGATCATTAAAGAAAGAGCATTTTTTCCCTTTCCTTTCTTTGGTTCAGATTTTTTTAAATCAAATAAGTTGTCTTACGTGTAAGTTTTTCTTTCTCATTCCCATCCCTTCTATTTCTTTTCTTTTCTTCTCATCTCTTTCCCTCAATTCTACTCTTCATTCTATTTCTTTCTTATCCATCCTTCTAGCTCTTCCATTTCTTATATGCATTTTCACATTCATTTTTTCTTCCCCTGATTTCTTTTCCTTTTCTTTTCTTTCCATTTAAAGGCCAAGAAATTTAATCACATGCAGTAAAACTATAAAAAATGGAGAAAATGACAGTCAAGTCGAAAAAGATGACACAACACAAACACCTAAACTGCTATAAGAGCAACTTTACGACCTCTAGCACTAAAGGTCCTTGATAACATCATACCAGCCCTAGTTTAGAAAAAATCTCCAATAAAAAGAACTTTTTGAGGCCTTTTCATGACAATGAATGACATATTGAAATAACAAGATTTTTTCAGAAAACATAGGTGTTAGTTAGGGAAATCCTTTTTCTTCTTTTTTTGGTCAAGGGCTTTATTTTGTTTCAGGAATCACAGGAAAATGGTATAAAATATTAAGGTTTAATGCCTTGACTCTGTATCATATGTGAGTAGAGTTAATTCTAGAGTTTTTTTTCTCCAGGTTCTCTGATTTTCTTCCCTCAACTAAACCCAACCAGCTAAATTTTAATTCAATCTGTGAGTTAGCCCTGACTTTGATCAGCCTCAAGAGCCCTTTTTCAAGTCTTTATAAAATTTCAATTCAAATTTATGGTTTAGCAAGATTTTTTAGTTATGAAAATGGTAATTATGTGCTGAGAAACACTAGTRGGAATCAAAGAAAAGGAGAATACCAAAGAGATCGAATAAAAAATCTGCTTCAATTTAAAAAACACTTTGTACAAATTGTAACAAATTCTATTCTATTTTCAGTTCGATTTAGAGTGTCATTAAAATCAAACAATRCGGTGATCTAGAAAAATAATTGATGGTTAAATACATGATTTATAAAAAACGAGCGAAATAAATTAGATTTTACGTGTAATGGTTTTAACTGAATCACCCGAGCATAGCAACTTGTCTGTCACTAATACAATATATCACGCCATGATCGTATGATCATGGAAGTAGAACAAACAAACAAACAAACAAACAAACGAAAAGAGGAAAAACCGTTACCTTTGTCCAACCTGATGTGGTTTTTCTCCACGTGTGATTCATAATCTTTATCGCTAACTCCGTCTACTGGAAGAGAAGGACAGACGCCATTTCTCCCATATCTACAAACAAAGGAACCACCTTCCTTCGTGCAATGAAATTGTCGTAAATGAGCGCTGAAATCCTTCGGGAAGCGGAAAATCCTCTTGTCAGGACAAACACCGCAGCTCTGCCATGGACTTGTTTCGTTAGAATCCGCAGTCCTTAACATTTCATTAACATAAAACTACAGCTTCAATAACAACGTCTGCATCTTCGGGTCTAGACTTGCTGTGAATAAGTAATGTTTGATCCTAACAAACTCTTGGAAATAAAGACTTCTGGTAATTATCTTAACTTAGCGTCGATTCCATGGGAATTATGTAAGGCTGGGACTCATTTTTGTTTCAAGACATAAACAAAATTCTATAAAAATCCAGTCGAAACCACGCAAAATTCACGAACATTTTCAAAGAAATGTTGTTTAGAGAAAAGCAAGATTGCCAAGTGACCTTTCCTGCTGATATGGAAATCGATATTTAATCGGTACACAGAATAAATCATTCGAAACACTTTCGTAAAATTATCGCTAGTTTTTATTGGTTTAACGAAGAGGTGTCGAACTACTTCGGAAGATATTCGGAATCCAAATCAAAATCTTCCCTCCTTTTTTCCCGCGCACATTTGAAAAAAAGAAGAAAACAACCAAGGAAAAAGTTCGGATATTTAGCCTACAAATAACGCTATTTTTATAAGCTGTATCCCACATTGAGCTTCTGATAGTTCTATTGAGAAGAAAGGAAGCATTTTATATCATTTTTTTGCGAAAAGTCGTTGATTTGAAGCAGGACTTTGAAGAAAACTCAAAAGCAAAATGGCGATGCAAGAACGACGACGACAGCAAGCACGGCAACAAGAAGAAACTATGGAGGAAGCTGATGCTGAACAAAGCGGTCCTTTGTCGATCCACAAATTAGAAGTATGGTTTTAACCTGTACTTATTCTTAATACACGAAATGCTCGTCTTTATGAGCTATTTTTAATATTCAAGATTATGCAACATATTTTTGGCTGATTTTGCAGAAGACTAAAAAAATGCTTTGCATACGAACTTGTATCGCGTTTCCCTTTTAACCTACTACTCAAAATCTTTCAAATTCTACTAGGCTACTTTATATGATAGATTGTGTTATCAATAATGTTTCAAAAGATTGAGTTTGTTATAATGTTAATATTCTCAAACTCTACCCGTGGGAATGGTATGGATGTTTTCTGGAACTATACACAATATAATATCCCTAGACCATTCCTACCCCTTAAAAATACAAATCGTATCCTATTTCTTTCTCAAGGAACATGGAATAAGTGCAAGTGATGTGAATAAACTTGTTGACGCAGGCTATCATACAATAGAATGCATAGCATACACCCCAAGGAAAGCCCTTCTTGCTATTAAAGGCATTAGTGAGGCAAAAGCAGACAAGATCATCAAGGAAGCTTCAAAGCTTGTACCGATGGGTTTTACGACAGCCACAGAGTTTCACATGCGAAGATCAGAGCTTGTCATGATCACCACAGGATCTAAAGAGCTTGATAAACTATTACAAGGTATTTATAGGCTTTTTTAGCTTGGGCATGTAGTTGGTCATTAGTAGAGTAGCTGGTTGTGATCCGATAGATTAATGAATTTTTTTTAATAGAAAAGAAAAAGTAGCCTGCAGTTAAGCGTAAAGTAACTGCTGACAGGAACCTGTGGCTGCTGCCATCTTATTCTGAAAGCCCTGTGTAATCAGTTTTTTCCTATATTGAGATTCTTAAATGTTTTGAATATCAATTCCAGGTGGGATTGAGACTGGTAGCATTACTGAGTTATTTGGGGAGTTCCGTACGGGGAAAACACAGCTCTGCCACACTTTAGCTGTCACATGTCAGGTAACAGGAATTGTGCAACAGATCATTTGATTGATAACAGGGATAAGAATATTGACTGGAAATGGACAATGTCTGGCCAAAAGTGGCTCTTGTCTGGTCAAATGTGCCTCTTTGGCCAATCACGACGGGTCACATTTTGAACAGCCCAATGTTGCTGTTCATCATGCACAGACATTGAGAAGCTGTTATTATTTTTAGCCTTGGCTGATCAGAAAGTTATTATTGAATTCATTTGCTATGAATTAATAAATTAGTCATGACAGTTTATTTTATTGTCACAAACCTTTTGTTTAGCTTCCAATTGATAGTGGTGGTGCTGAAGGGAAATGTTTGTACATCGATACTGAAGGCACATTCAGACCAGAGAGGCTGCTAGCAGTGGCAGAAAGGTAAACATTTCTTGCTCAAATATACAATGTAGGTGTATAGTGTGAAGTAACAGTAGTGCACTCCCCTGTCAGCATTGTGGTACTGAGGTTGGTTCCTTGGCCCAGCATCAGATATGAGCAGAGTTTGTCAGGTCTCTTCTTGGCCAATTTTGAAAACTTTCAAAACATCACTCATATCTATAGATTTCCTATACTTAACAGTTGCCTATGAGAAGACACATGAATATGGATACAMCTCAAACAAAGAATTTTATACTCAAGGGAATGACACATTGTCTAAAATGAGAAAACTCAGGCTTAGTGATCATGGTGAATATTTACCTTGCCGCTCAGTAAATATTCTACCAATAATCACTTTTAAATACCATCTGTTTCCAGGTATGGATTGTCTGGCCAGGAAGTGTTAGATAATGTAGTGTACGCTAGGGCATTCAACACAGACCACCAACAAGATTTAGTCGTGGAAGCTTCTGCATTGATGTCCGAATCAAGGTACAGCAAAAAGAAACCAGAAAAAATTATTTATAATATCCAAGTTGGATTTACTTATTCATTTGGAATTTAGTAGATGTTGCCCCATAAGCAGAGAATCAAAGGTGGCACAGCACATATTTGACTCTCACCGATAGGGTCTAGAGTTAAAAACTTACTGAGTCAATATTGTTTTTACTTCATAGATTCGCCTTAATGATTGTTGACAGTGCTACTGCCCTGTACCGTACTGATTATTCAGGCCGTGGAGAACTTTCTGCTCGTCAAATGCACATGGCAAGGTTCCTTAGAACTTTACTTAAAAGAGCAGATGAGGTAAATAAACATCAAATCTTCTTCAGCCCACTTGTCATTGGGGTTAAATAACTGTCGGACATCAGTTAATGTCTGCTCCGCATTAAAACTTCTCTGATCAAATCTTTGCCTTGCTGGTCATTTTGACCAAGCTAAAACTAATTTGGCCAGTCATCATGACAGGCAACTTATTTTATGCCTTGTTATATAATGAAATAGAATATGTGTGTGCATACTGTGGATCTTTCACAGAGTATCAAGTAAAGTATGACTTCTTAGTATGACGAAGTAGTCGGCATAGTAAAGACCAATTAAATATATTGTTCTTTATGTTATTTCACATATTACTTTCAGTATGGGGTTGCCATAGTGATCACCAATCAAGTGGTCGCCCAGGTGGATGGTGCGTCAATGTTTCAAGCTGATCCCAAGAAGCCCATTGGAGGGAATATCATGGCTCATGCTTCAACTACTAGGTAAGTGCGACCAGCTATAATCTCATTTAACTATAGCACGAGCACATTGTTATGTTGCGTATTCTTGTAAAACTGTCACAACCGTTTGCCCTGATGAAGAGCAAGATGCTCGAAAGCTTGGCTTGATTTATAATTAAAAAGCTGATGAATCATAACTATCATGAAGCTATAATCTCCTCTAAATTTAACTACTAGACTGCTACCAAGTTCAAGCAATGACTGAATAGGGCCAGGTGATTCATTCCAGCTATTCTTGAAATGACCTAATGCTTTTCGCCTATCACCTTTAGCAATGACAATGCTTTTTGAAATATATGTAGGTGTATATCTATAAATTAGTTAGACCTGCATGTAGATTGAATGACATCACTGGCTTTTACACTGCCTTCCAACTATTAGTTTAAAGGAGCCCACAAATTCATTCTTGTCAGTTTAATATGTTACCATCGTTATCATTAAATATTTTGATTGACTAATTTTTATTTTGTCTTAAATTTTTCTCAGGCTCTATTTCAGAAAAGGTAGAGGAGAGACAAGAATTTGTAAAATCTATGACTCCCCTTGCTTGCCTGAGTCAGAAGCAATGTTTGCTATTAATGCTGATGGTATTGGTGATTCTAACGATTGATGCTGTGTGTGTCAAACAAAAGTATCATATTACACAATAAATCTGCTTTAAGTATGTCTTTGTGTAACATGTGATGATGCAGAACAATGATGTATCACTTAAGACTTTAAATTGCCATCTAGCAGGGTCTAGGCAAAATGGGAAAGTCAGCCCTTGGAAGTTTTAGTGGAATGTACAGAAATAATATTCAAGATAATGGAAATGTCTTATGGACTAAAATGTGATAACACTACACCCAGGGCTTAAGATAATTGCCAATCATGATCACTGGTGAAATTAGTTTTAGCTTGGTCATATCTTGTTCTGGCTCTCAATGTTACTGGTCAAAATGACCAGCGAGGCAAAGATTTGACTGGACAAGATCCAATTCTGGCAGGACATTGTCTGATGACTGGCCGTTATTTTAAGCTCTGATTACGCCTAGTAAATACTACGGATCTCACCAAACTGTCACCAAAATTTGTCTACTGACACGCCTACTTTTGTCACTGTCTCGGATCTAGCACATTGCCAGTAAGGTATTTACCATAATACATGTGGACAAATTAGGGTGTAGTAGCGAGACAAATTTTTGACGTGTTGCCACAGTACGGTGAGATCCGTAGTATTGTAAATAAGCTTGCAAGCATTATAAAAGTTAAAACAGCAAATGTTGCATGATATTAAATATTGTAATGCTGTAATATTGATATCAATTGTTTGAATTTTTCACTTTATTACGAAATTTGTGTTATTTTTACAAAACATCCTGAGAAAAATATTCAAACTTTCAAAAATACTACAGTACCTCTTGATATTTGACTAGAAAATTATGATTCCTTCAATTTTTAATATTATGAGAACTCAGTACATGCTAGTTGGCCATTATAATTTGTTTTTTTATTGCTGTTAATCAAAAATGTAAAAGGTATTGACTGTTTAAATATGTGATTGACAGCAGAAAAAAATAAAAGGCATAATATTGAAAAATGTTATAAATAACCATTTTATATTTGTACTTTTATAAAGAAATGTTTGAATTAAAATAAACAAATAAAACATATTTCGTACATTAATACTTGATGGAGACTTTTGAGGGATGTGCCTGCCAACCCACACTCAATTAAATTAACATTAAATTTGTTCTTTTTGGTGCTTAAAAAACATTAAATTATTTACTTTAAAAATCATCGTATCGAAACTATGTACAATTACAATTTGTATGATTTAATCATCTACTATAAATAACTATATTAATTGAATGCAAGAAAGATCAAGAGAAATCTCTGACAGCCGATATTTTCTTCATTAAATTATTGAAATTGGTAAATATCTGCCACCTATTTCGGAAAAAAAAAATTACCATCAGTTAATCAAGTCTTGGCCCACAGTTTTAGGCAACTGGATCTTCCTTTGGTAGAAGTGGTTCACGTTCCCCTGTGGACTTGTCTGCGTAGTGTTTTATTACACTGAAATAAAAATGAATTGGATTAGTTTGACATGAAAAATCTGGGATGATCAAAGTCAGCGTACGGATAACTCACAGATCAAACCCTGAAACACCCTCTGGGCTGTTCTAAGTCTGGGCATGGCTAACTCACAGATCAAACCCTGAAACACCCTCTGGGCTGTTCTAAGTCTGGGCATGGCTAACTCACAGATCAAACCCTGAAACAACCTCTGGGCTGATCAAAGTAAGGGAATGGCTAACTCATAGATTTCTTAAGGGAGAGCCCTAAAACAACCTCTGGGCTGATCTAAGTCAGGACACGGCTAGCTCACAGATAAAGAATAGACCATTTCACCCTGAGCATAATTCCTCCTAACTTCAAACCACATGTCATGCCCTTGAGAATAAGATTCTTTGTTTGAGTTGTATCAATATATTCATATGCCATCTCATGTGCAACTGTTAAACAAAGAAATTATACTCTAGGGAATGACAAGTGGTCTGCAATGGGAAGAATAGACCTATCCCGAATTCGCTTGACTGACCACGAAACAATGGTTTGAAGTCGAGACTGAACTTGATTCTTTTATTTATTAAGTTCAACCTCGACTTGAAACCATTGTTTTCGTGACCAGTCAAGCAATTCGGGATAGGTCTATTAGGCCTAAACTGAAAGTGTAACAATGGACATTGATAATGGTATAAGTACCTTAATAATACTAGAGGAATGATGGCAAGACCGGCATTTATCATAAACGGAAGTCCTGCTGCATATTCCCAATGTACTGCTTCAATAGACCAGGCATATAAAGGATTAAATATTAACTGGCTGCTAAAATTGCACAGGCTTTCCAGGGATGCAAAAACAGAAAATAATGCACCTGAAACAGAAGGAAAGAAAATAAAAAAAATTTTTAAATTATATTTTTTACTTAAACATATCAACTCCCTGTGTTTGCTCCAAGAGCTAAGCTCATCGTGGGAGATTACACAGAACATAATTACAATGTTTTTGGAGTTTTTAGGAAAAAGAAAAAGAAAATTAAATCTACATTGATTTTTCAGGTATTTTATCATTGGAATTTACCTTGTTCTTCTTGATCAATCATTTGGGATAGTTGTGCTCCTAAACAGGGCCTTGGAATGCCACTAAATACCCCAACAATACAGGCTGACATAGAAACATAACCACACAAGTTACATTATATTTATATAAGGGGAAACATTGCTTCAAAAATACCCATAGAGGGGGCATGAAATTTTCAAGGGGTAGGGAGGGTCTGAGAAGGGTATATTGTTTACTTTCAAAAAAAATATCCATACCTCCTCAATAGAGGGGATGGGAATTTTTGAGGGGTGGAGAGGGTCTGAGGAGGGTATATTGTCTAGTTCCAGAAAATAAGCATACCTATGCCATGGAGGGGTAATTTCAAAGGATCTGAGGACGATATATTGCATACTTCCAGAAATTACAAAAAAATTATCAGTGAAGAGGGATTGGAATTTCCAAGTGATGGGGAGGATCTGAGGAGCATATATTGTATAGGGCACAATTTGTGCAGTTCCAGATACTTACACAAAAACATAAGAAGTGTAGTTTTAGAAAACCCAAGCATAACAAGGTTACCAATGAGAAARACTGTTCCAAACTGTGCTGACGAGTAGTTTGACAACTTTAACTTTGAACATGCCCATATACCAACGACTGCACCAAAAGCCTTGGAAAACAAAAGAGTCCCTAGATAATAACCGATGAGAGTAGCAGTCCAACAAAGAGGAGAATTCTTGGTGTACAAAACAACTAGTGTGGTGATGATAAACTGCGCAAGCAAGAATATAACAGAGAGTAGAAGTAATGTAAAAAGAATCCAACGTCCTTTTCTCTTTTTTGTGTACACAGTTATCACAGGTTTGATGTTTTCAAAACTCAAGCAACATGGTTTGCGTTTCGGCACAGATGGTGTCAGTAATGACTCTGGTAGAAGGAATATGATGTAGAGAAGGTTAAGGACATGGAATGACAGGATCATCCAAAATGTAGCAGTGTAGCCAAGGTTTTCTACCCAGAATCCACTAGCAAATTGACTCAAAGTGCCGCCAAGGAAGGCTAGTGCTTCTAGGATGCCAAGTTTTATTGCTCTTGATTCTGGTGATGTCGTGTCTGCTGCATAGGCTAGTAATGCTGCCACCATCGTAGGGTAGTAACCACCTAATCCACCAATACCACTAGCTGAAAATAAAGTGAAAACTGAATTCAAATTTAAAATGAAGTATCAATCCCCTACAACACTATGACGACATCACATCAAAACAATCTATTGTTTTAATGCTAAGGATCATGGCTGCCAGAGGGGTCAAAGTAGCAGCAAAATGAATTAAATCACAATAAAAAATGGTTATTTAGACGGGGAAAGGTGATAACAGATAAATGTTGTACTAAATATCCCGAACGAAAGAAAATTTCGCCTAAATTCCTATCATTCTTGCCCATGTAAACAAGCTGTGATGTCATAATGTTATAGGTCAATTTGTGAGGCCCCATGAATTCTGACAAGCAGCATGACCTTGAAACAGGGACATGCGAGCCACAAACTAGCAACAAATGACAGACTGCTCTAACGAATTACCAACAGCAAGGCCCTGGCAGGGGTAAATTCAAATTAGCGATACAAAATTGTTTCTAAGTTGTGACAGGTAGTTGTAAAATTCATTGGTATCCCCCTAATAGGGACTAATTGATAATAATATTTATTAGAATCAATAATTTCATCACCATTGCCACCAACAATTATAATTATCACCATCATCATTACTTCTTACCATTATCATTTTTGCTATCATCTTCATCACCATGTTATCACCATCAACAGTTAATATCATCACCATCAATATCACCACCACCATCTTTACCAATCATCATCATCAATTATCATCACCTTTTTAGTCAGTAACTATCAGCACCATCGTCATTATCATCTATCATCATGACTATCATCATCAAACATCATGACCACCATCACCTCTAATCATCATCATCATCATCATCCTCACCAACATCATTATTCATTTTCATTTTCATCATTATTTAATAATAGTGCATTTGCTATTATCAATTTCTATGATTACCATTAATTGTCATAAATTATCATTTTCAACCATTACCAATCATGAAGACATAGACCGGCCACTTCATATACATGGTTATCAAGACAACAGCTGCATCTAAAGATGCCGTCACTGATACAATAATCATGAGTGGCTTGCGACCCCTTGTGTCTGACCATGGGCCCAAGAAGCAAGCCATGACCACGGCAGGGAGTGTCAGTGCAAGATTTACTCCAAGAATATACTTAGATGCTTTCTGTTGAATTGGTACGTCTGAAGCTGCCCTGTGGATGTCAAAATGATTTGGCTCAAAAATTATGGGAAGTATGGGTGGCCTGCACTGCTAATGTGCCACTTCTCAGCAATGCAGCCTGGGTTTAAGTCCTGAGTAAAGTTAAATCAAATAGTTCCTTGTTGGTTGTTGTTACATTCATAATAGTTTGTTTTATCAACCATAAATTCTAATAAATATGATCTGAGCTTTCGCCCTACTCAGCCATCCTCAGGGAAATGAAAAACGTTACAATTGACAAAGAAAACCGATCAAACCATGGCAATATATGCGTGCACATAAATTAAACAAAATCGTGCGTGCTTAGAAAAAACAAACAAATAAATAAATAAATAAAGTTGTTTGTTTGTTATTTCTCTCCTGTGCGTCAAGGGTTTTTCTCCCTCCTCATGCAAAAATCAACTTATTTCTGTTGTGATTGTTCCATGCTGCATATAGTACAACATTGAAGAGATCAATTCAGCTAGAGTCATCATATTATAGAAGATAGACTCAGCCACCTCTGTAGGCAACTCTTAGTCTTGCCTTTTTTTTCAACTCACATGTTGATTTTTACGGAGTGTGGAAAACCAGAGTAACTACCCAGAGAAAAATCCTTGTAGCAATAAAAGTAACAACACATCAAACAAACTCCAYTAACGTATAAATGTAAACTTATAATCATTTTACAGTCAGACTAAGAAAACCATGAACACCTAAGATATGTCTGGAATGTTAAACATCGTGTTCTGACCAATCACATGCGACAGTTAATTAGAAATGAATTCATTCTCGATTGGTCAGAATATGATGTTTAACATTCCAGACATATCTTAGGTGTTTAAGGTTTTCTTAGCTTGACCGTAATTACAACTGGCTATCACATTTCTTAAGGGGCTCCACACACACCACACACTACTACACCCACCCAGTTAGCTCAGTTGGTAAGAGCGTCAGTCTGTTGTGAGGAAGGCTGTGGTTCAAGCCTCAGCCGGACCAACACTCAGGGTCTTAAAATAACTGAGGAGAAGGTGCTGCCTTTGTAATTACATTCTGCAAATTGGTTAGACCTTCAAGTCTTCTCAGACAAGGACTTAAAACCATAAGGTCCCATCTGTCTTCACTATATCCCTGTATAAGGTGTAATGTAATTACATATGCAAATTGGTTAGACCTTCAAGTCTTCTTGGACAAGGACTTAAAACCATAGGCCCCATCTGTATTCACTATATAACCCTGTATAAGGTGCACGTAAAAGATCCACTGAAGACGCTGGTAACAACCATCTTCAGTGCCCATGCTAAAAAAAAACTCGAGGGCCACAAGTTAATCAGTTAACAAAATTACTGTCATGTGTCACCCTCATTAAATAAAGTCTTCAATCAATCAATCAAAAAATTCTTTACTTACAACACAAACTCAACTCACATGTTGATTTTTAAGGTAGGAGGAAAACCAGAGAGCCCAGAGAAAAACCCTCGTGTCAAGGAAGAGAACAGTACATGCTTAATACCCAGTATTAATTTTGGCATATATACCTTTTAGTGTCGTTAAGATATTTTGGGCCACCACAGACAGTTTCATTTGTATCATTTTTGAAAGGGGAATCCATCCTAGCTCTTTCGTACAGGTACTGTTGCATTATAGGATTCTCCAGGAGAACTGCGGCAATGTATAGGAATATGACAACCTCTACTGTAATGGCTCGACGTGGATTTTTGAGCCATGGTAGGGTGCTTGGTTGCCTAGGTGACATGGTTGAGTTTGTTCTTATTAATTTACCTGAAAATTAATCAACATATTGCTTAAAGTTGTTGACAGGGTGGGGGGTGGAATGAATTATCCAACCAACCCCTATGTTGTGTCTTATACATGTACAGCTAATGTAAGTGCTGTCATATAAGTCTTTTTAGACAGGCTGCTGAGCACCCTAGGTAAAAAATGGGGGGGGGGGCTAAGATTGAGACTAGCGTGGGAAAAAAGGGGCACTAAAATTGAAAAATATAAAAGACTAGCATGGGAAAAAGTGGGGGTGGGGACTAGTATAGAAAAAGGCTAGGCTCCTGTTAGAGAGTGCTGYATGTCAACCTTAGCAGTAGCTATTTAGGAAACTACTAGCCCTCCCATACACCGACTCGAAAGATAAGGACCAATGCATGCAAATAATTATTATTCAAGTGGAAACACAAAAGCCTTTCCAAATGTACGAGAGGCTAGTCAGTTGYTATTCTGTGCAGAACAATCAGCTATTCAAATTGATTGCATATATTTCGATTTAGTGTAAGCAGTAGTGGATCAAAGAGTGGTTCCATGGAATTCCCCTTGGTGAACCTAATCATGCTCTTTAGGCTCAATAGATTAAAATGAATTAAAATTAGGGTCTGTACTAAYATGCAGGAAACAGGAGAACGTTTTTGAAACCCCCTGGAACTTTTTGAAATCCTAGAACCACCATTCCCTCTTGACTGGAGTTTTGACATCTTTTGCTTAAATGTCATGGGTGCATATAAACTATCACATGTCATTAAGAGCCTGATATCGTTTTTATTCTCGAGTTTTCCATATTATATCGCAAACGAGCAAATCCGCAAGGGAGTGAGCAATATCATATGGAAAAGGAGTGAATAAAAAGGATTTATGAAATAATCGGGATACTACGCATGCTATGATTGGTCGAAAACCATGTTTGATGAGAGTATCAAAACATGCTATCGTCATTTTAGCATGCACCTTCGTAACTGTCTGCAACTGTCAGATTTTAATCTATCATGCACGCTCATTGGTCAGTTTGAATAAGACAGCACGTAGGGAGAATTTACTTAGACTTTCCTTTTTTTTCGATCTTTTGGCGCGTTTATTTTATAAAACAAATCAAAAACAGTTTTTGGGATGTTGGGAAAACACTCGAGAAGCTGGAAACCGCTACGAGTCGTGGTTTCCTACGCTCCTCTCATGTTCTCTCAACATTCTGCGTGTTTTGATCAGAGTATCAAACACGGAAAACTGTTTTTGATCTGTTAAATAAAGCTCAACGTGTAATATTTTAACTTGTTTATAAAATGACAAAATTTACAATTTCCAGTTCACCGTGAAGTGATATCGTATCACTTCACTTATATGGTTTTATTATAAGTTCCTAAATGTGTAATAAATTAAAGCTAATTACCTCGATAAATTTTCCATCCTATTTACACTTCCTGTATAACTGGGACATGCACCATTTCATTAGTTGATCGAGTTCCTCGTACAATTAAATACAATGCAACCACCATTCACAAATTACATTATGTGCATCAACTCAAACTCCATTCCAAATTAGAAACAATAGATAATGCCTTTGAGGTTAAGACATTAATTTAAATTTTGTAGAAAAAATGTGCCTATCATGTGATAAGTAAGCTTAATAAGTAATCAAAAACTTACATAACTATGAAGCGAAACGTAAAAAGCTACTTACAGTTTTGTATCGTGCCAGAGCATTCTCCTTTCACCTTCTCAAAAATCTTTTAACTTCTATAAGAAGGGAAAGTTAGAAGTCATAGAGATCCGAAATCCCGGGGAATATGCTCGTCTCTCAAGGTTGCTACTTCATGTAAGGCTTCATGAAGTGGCACTATTATATTAGGTTTTATTTGTGTTTTATATTATACTTATTTATGCTTGACTTACTTCATGTGCTTGACTTACTTGACGTACTTCACTTACTTGACGTACTTTACTTACTTGGTGTGCTTGGCTTGCTTGAGGTGCTTGAGGTGCTTGCTTCAGGACTGAATGCCACATAATAATGCATATAGTTGAACGTGTGCACGTTGGTTGTCGTGTGTGTAGTCCATGTAGCCTTGCGTGGCCATATGGAAACGTCAGTAGCAATACATGGTCATCATTACATGTACATAGCCATACATAAGTGTTCATAGGCGTACATTGGTGTACATAGCTATACATGCTATACATTGCAATACATCGGTACTGATTGGTAGAGTTATTGTTTTTGGCCCGTGAAACAAAGTTGCATACCGTAAATCCTCTATTTAGCCCCCTGGGGGGCTTATTTATTTCATGCACGTTTGAGGGAGGGCTTTATTGGAGAGAGGGGSYTWAWT